CTTTCAAGCATTAAAAAGCAAAGATGTCACTTTGAGGACTAAAGTGCATCTGACCCAAGCCATGGTATTTTCAATTGCCTCATATGCGTGCAAAAGCTGGACAATGAATAAGACTGAAGAACTGATGATGCCTTTGAATTAATGGTGTTGTCGGAGAATATTGACTATACCATGGACTGCCAGAAGAACGAACAAATCTGTCTTGGAAAAAGTATAGCCAGAATGCTCCTCAGAAGTGAGGGTGGCGAGACTTGTCTCACGTTCCTTGGACATGTTATTAGGAAGGACCAGTCCCTGGAGAAGGACATCATGCTTGGTAAAGTAGAAGGTCAATGAAAAAGAGGAAGACCCTCAACAAGATAGACTGACACAGTGGCTACAACAATGGGCTCAAACATAGCAACCACTGTGAAGATGGCCCAGGACCGAGCAATATTTCGTTTTGTTGTACATAAGGTTGCTATGTGCCGAACCAACGCGACGGCACCTAACAACAACAACATGTTGCGTTATTTCATGGAATCCCCACATCATCCAGAGTGGTAGGTGTATGACTCCTAATTTGACTCTGTAAGCCACTGGTGGGAGGGGGAATAGGATTCCTGTCGTGCAAACATTAAGGGCTCCGCTGCTAACAGAAAGCTGGACGGTTCAAACTCACCAGCTGCTCCACAGAAGATGCGTAGCCTGCTTCCGTAATGAATTACAGCCTTCGAAACCCTATAGGGCAGTTCTACTCTGTCCTATGGGGTCACTATAAGTCGGAATGGACTAGAAGGCGGTGGGTTTGGTTTTCGGCCTTTGGTGGCACTGAGTTTACAGGAGTACACCTCCCGACCCTGGAGACATAGATGAAAGCCAGCAAAAGCTGGAAGAATCCAAGCTTCGCTTTCTACAGTTAAAAATTTCCCGACAGCGCGGCTGGCACAGAGGCAAAACCTCACCCCTTTCGGGAATCCCCTCCCCTTCTGCAGTCTCACGCCAACTCCAGAGAGGCAGGCTCTCGGCCAATCAGAAGAGCTTTTAGGCGGGCGCTGCTGTTCAGCGAGCCAATAGGCGGGCAGCTGGAGCCGGGCTTGCCCGGGCATGTGTGAGTTGCCGGCCTGGGGTCCACGTGCGGGCCGGAAGAGACGCGGGGCGCTGCAGGTGAGTTGCTGGGATTCCGCGCCAGTGCGGTCGGGACCGGGTGGGCTGGTGCGGCGTGTCCTAGGCCGCGGGGCCCTGCACTGGTGTGTCGGTCCCAGGCCTGCGACGGGCGACGCCCAGGCTCAGCCCGTCTCTGACCGGCGGGTTTGCCGGCCGGGACCCCGACCCTGCTTCTGCCCGGTCCTTGGCTTGCTCCTCGTGTCCCCGGCCTGAGAGGGCCAGCGCTAAGCAACGAGGCTTGGCCTGGCGGGCGCTGGCGTGGCGTCCGCGGCCAGTAAGTAATCAACAACCGAGTCTTTCCCTGGGTGAGGTCAGGCCTCCCTCACGTCACTCCTTGGAGAACGCAAGCCGGAGGAGACCCTGCGGAGCTCTGCTTGAACTTTTTTAACCCCTCGAACTTTTTAATGTCACTAGGACCTTAATCCGGATTGTCTCAAATCTGGGTGGTTATCAGAATCATAGGCTACAGGGTCGCGCCCGCTGTAGTTTAGAACACAGATTCTCAGGTCAGTTTCAAAAAATGGCAGTTCAGAAGGTGTAGGGGTCGGACCTGGAAATCTGCATTTTAAACCAGCGTCCTAATTGTTTCTGATAATTAACTGCGTTGTGGAAACCCTTAACCTAGTTTAGATCCCTCGGATTATGGGGAAGGGACAGTGACTTGACTCGGTTCATTAGGCTATTGAGTGCCAGAGCAGGGCCTAGAGCTGCCTTTCGGATCAGCTCTCAGGTTGGTAGCGCCGAAACCACTGGCGATTTTGGAATTCTGGTTCCTTTGGGGCCTTTGCTCGGTGGACTCTGCTGCTGGGGCCTTACCCTTGGGCAGGGGACCCCTGCCCAAATACCCAGAGTGCTGGTTGGGCTGGAGAGAGAGATTTGTGTTTGTCCTTGCTGAAACAGTTGGGATGTTTGAGAGAAACTTCTCTCCAGCTTCACTTGAGAAGTTTCGATTGTGACATTTGTCAGCAAGATCTGTGCATATAGAAAAGGCTGCCATCATCCGTTGAAATACCAGACTGTAAGAGGCCTTTTCTCAGGGCACCCCAATTTCTGGCTTCTTTGACACCCTGCCGGCAGAGTCTGGAAGGCCACAAACTGGAGTCTCGGCCTCAACTCCTGACCTACAGAGCCCTCAGCACCTCCTAGAGAAGGGAAAGGGAAATACATCTCCCTAACAGAAGTCAATTATTAGAAGGGTCAGTCTCGTTCTTCCCATTGCTGGGCTGAGGCAAGTTGAGATTCTGTATTCGTCAGCTCTAAGATGTGACTCAGCAGTATGAAGAAGTTGGTTACAAATTAAGAGACCTTTTGTAGGGAGAAAGAAGGCTTCTTGGGGAAGGGACAAGCAAGCAGAGGGTGGATGAGTCAGGATGGGTCACCGTCTCGCCCTGGTGACTGAGCCCTGCTCATGCAAATGCTGACATCACCCAGAGCCCAGCTAGTCAGCAAATCCTGGCACCTCACCTCATATCCCATCCGCTTCCTATTTCTCTTAACCCTTTCAAGACCCAATTATTTTCTGCTTTGAGTTTTTTATTGATACCGTGTGTTTTCATTAATGGGAGCATGCTGAGTCATTGAGTGTTGTTGAATTTTTGGTAGGTAGTATGGATTTTTCTTTTTTTTTTTTGCCCTCTTCAACAATCCTACTCTCTGAGTCCCGAGGGACATATGCTCTGCTAATATTACCCCGGACGCCCCCTAGGGTCCAGAGGGACATTTAATGATGTCCCAAAGAAAAATTCTCAAAATTTCTTTCTCCTACCAAAAATGCCCACACCTCATACAGCACCCTGTAGAAGTAGTAATTTGCAGTATGTACCTGTGTTTTCAGTTTCAAAGAGTCATAAAGGCCCCTGCCTTGCAGCAGCATGCACTGTCAGTGGGAAAGTAGCTTCCCAGTGAAACCTGAGAGGCTGAAAAAGTGGGTGGGCAACTGTGTATCCTAACTGTCATGAAAGGGTTTTAATTGTCGTGTTCTTATCTTCCCCAGACCTCTCTCTATAGAGGCAGTTGTGATCCTGTTGCCCTCCAGTCTGTTCTGCTGTCCAGCATCTCTTAATTCAGCCCTTAATAAATTTTCTACGTCCATTCTTTCTCTGTGGGTAGACTGAACTCCTTGGAGTCCAGGATCCATTGTAATAACTCTGCCCAGCACCTGGCACAGAGCCACGTGGACCCCAGAGAGCCTTGGTGTGGCATTGGATAAAGGGGTTGTTCCAGAAGGGCTGCCTGGGGAATGCAGAACAGCAGCTATATCTGAAAGGGAAGCTGGGTAGGAAGCGAGACAGGAGGGAGGCCTGTGGGTGGGAAGGTAGTGAATCTGGGGAAGCAGCACTGGCCTGGGGAGAGCTAGTTACTGACCGCTTGTGAAAGTGGGAACCTCTAGGGGGAAGGAGCGGATGGCTGTTGCACCCCTGCTATATATAGTATACACAGATCCCAGCATGTATATTGTGTTTTTTTATCTTTAGATGACGGGAGGTGTAGGCCCTTTTTACATGCCCAAAAACTGATGTTCAGTGGTTTAGAGCTAAGTTAAACCCTGCTCTGCCTGATATTGTCAAAGCCCTGGTTTTCTGGTCTGTTAAAAGTGAACTGGTGCAAAAATATCCCCTGAAGTCATCTCAAAACCGAGCAGTAATTTAGCTTAACTAGTAAAAAGCCTGCCTTGAGCATTATGCTCTTTTAAGAACCATCTATGGTATTAAATTGACAACAGCCAGATTGGATGGGAAGCTTAGGGGTCAGTGAGTTTGTGTTAGGGAGGAACAACTTGGAAAAGGAGGGTGAGAATGGTTGCACAGCTCGAAGATTGTAATCAGTGTCACCAAATGGTACATGAAGAAACTGTTGAATTGGTTTGTGTTTTGCTGTGTGTATTCTCAACAACAACAAAATTTTATAAAAAGAAAAGAATAATGTATTGATGGATTTGGGAAGCAAATGAGATACGCTTTCCAAGCTGGGGCTGCGGCTGTTTGGAGGGTGCTGGACTTATTGCATAGGGGTTGCAAACTCACATGAACTTAACTCATTTCCTGCAGGCAGTGGTGTGTATCTCTTCCCAACCCAGCTTTCAGGGATGGGGAGCTTGCAGTCATGGTGGGAGTGAACCACAGAACGTTGCCAACCCTATAGATGGGGACTTTTTTTCCTAAAAAAAATGAGAGCGGGTTTACTATATAGGCAGTGGTGACTAAAGAACACACCCAATATTTTCAAATATTTGAAGATGCTGTTGTTAATGGATTACAAAGTCATTTAAATGAATTACCTCATTTGGTCAACGTGTACCAAAAGTACAACTATTGTGGGCTTCCTGTGAAATTGTTTTTCAGGATCTGCTAGGGGCCTGTGCCTTCCCATTTCATAAAGGCTTTTTTTTTTTTTTTAAACAGGATTATGTACATACTCTTTCTTTAGCCTTTATTTTCCTTTGACCTACCTCTCAAAGTTTTTGATGCTAACAACGTTGGAGGTCAGGCATGGCTTGGAGGTTGAGAGCTTGGGCTTTGGGCTGCCTGGGGTCATATCAGGTTTTGTCTCTTACTAATTGGGCGAGTTACTCTCTCTAAAGCCTGTTTCCTTACCTATGAAATGAAGATAATAATATTTCATTAGGGTTGTTGGGAAGATTGAATGGGTGATTCCATGCGAAGTACTTAGAACAGTGCTTTGCACATGGTGTTTACTGTATAAGTGCTATTATTATTAAAAACACCTCCTCTTCTAGTCTAGGAGCCAAGAGATAACGTATAGGGCAGCCCAGCAGGGAGGCACTGCTGGGAGGGAGGGCCCACTGGCCTGCACACTCCTTACCCAGCCCCTCGGCCTGCATGTTCTCTCTCCAGGGTGCTGTCCTATTGGAAGGTCACCCTCCAGGATTCCCTTGCCCAGAGCCGGGAGTGCGCTGAGATGGTGCCTCGGGAAGCCCCCGAGTCTGCCCAGTGCCTGTGCCCTCCCCTTGCCAGCCCGACTGCCAAGGATGTGCTTCGGAGAAGGCAGAAGAGGAGGAGCCGGCAGCACCAGCGGTTCATGGCCCGGAAAGCCTTGCTGCAGGAGCAGGGGCTGCTGAGCACCGCTCCGGAGCCAGGGTCCTCCCCATCGCCCACGCCATCAGAGGCTCCACCAGGCGCTGAAGCTGCCAGCCGTGGGAGGCCTCGTCCACGGGCTGAATCTGGCAGCACCCCATGCAGCAGAAAGCCAGCCCCCAAAAGTGTCACCTGGCCCTTGCCTAGCAAGTTTGTGGCCATCGACTGTGAGATGGTGGGCACGGGGCCCTGTGGACGGGTGAGCGAGCTGGCCCGCTGCTCTGTGGTGAGTTACCACGGCGACGTGCTCTACGACAAGTACATCCGGCCTGAGATGCCCATAGTGGACTACCGCACCCGCTGGAGTGGCATCACTCAGCAGCACATGCACAAGGCCATCCCGTTCCAGGTGGCCCAGAAAGAGGTGAGGACGGGGTTGGCAGGGCCCTGCCCTGAGCAGGTTGGTGGCATGTTTGGGTCGGTGTGATGGGCTAGGAAAAGGGAGCCCTGGGTTGGAGTCACCACTTTGCCATGGTGGGCTGAGAGACCTTGGGAAAGTTACTTACCTTTTCTGAACATTAGGTTCCTTTCCTGTAGAGTAGGACAAATAAAAATCCTGACCCTGTCTGCTTGTAGGAGTCCCTGGGCGGTGAGCTGGGCCACTGACAGAAAGGGTAGAGGTTATCCTGAAGTGGTGGAACGAGAGTTGTCTGAAATGAGAAGGAAAGTTGTAATACCAGATGTGCATGGGTGTGGCTGATGACATACTTGGTGAACTGAGATCGCTGGTAGGTGTTTGAGGTGTGTGCATTTTGTGTTATTCCCAAGTGGCTCAGATCAGCTGGGTGCGCTTTTCTCCATTCACCTAGTGTTGCTCAGAAATGAAATTGTGCATAAGCCAAGGTGAAATCTGCAGTAGTCTCAAATCGTGTCCTAATAGAGCAATCACATTGGAACAAATCTGCATTTTCAAAACGGGTGTCATAACAACCGACTTTTTTAACAAGACTCCTGGGTTATTCTTGGGATTAGGTAAGTTTGGGAAATATTGGTATATATTATCTGGTGTCCTACTTTTCCATTATGTCCCAAGCTTTTCCTTTAAAAGATTTAGAGGTTATTTATCAAGCAAGCTAATCAAGTATAGAAACAGCCAAAAGGGAGGTCCATGGTGAATCCTGTGGCCCTTGGTCCCTTCTGTTTGCCAAGTTGGTGGTGCTCCCAGAAGCGGAGCCACTGAAGTCTTAAATGCATTTCTTTTATCTGCTGTCAATTCTGGGGTTAGCAATAAACCATATGTTGCCAACAGAGGGCGTGGGAGGCCAGTGGCTGACGATAAGGAGAGCCCAGCAGAGAGGGCTGGAGGGGGCGGGGTTGACACTGGCCGATGGGCTGGACATGGCCTCCCTGGGGTCTGAGGAGGAGGGCCCCAAGCAGGGAGGAGAGGAACACGTGTGTGCAGAAGGCCTGAAGTGAGCAGGAGAGCAGGTTAGAGGGTGACGTAGGAGTCTGTGTACAGCAGAGGGGGAGGCCGCTGGCAGAAGCCTGAAGCTCTGTTAATACTGTTACTTGTTGCCGTCGAGTCAATTCTAACTCATGGTGACCCCGTGTGTCACACATTCTCAGAGTAGAACTGTGCTCCATAAGGTTTTCAGTGGCTGTAATCTGGAAGTAGATCTTCAGGCCTTTCTTCCGTGGTGCCACTGGGTCGGTTTGAACCACCAACCTTTTGGTTAGTAGCCGAGCATGAACTGTTAGCACTACCCATTTATAGTATGTCTCCTAGTGCCAGGTACAGGTCTGTTGACTTGGCACAGCAGGTCTTTATTGGTCACCTCCTGGCTGCTGGGCTTTCATTGGAGCCTCATTAGTCAAGTCACACATGGTCCCCCCACCCCACTCACAGAGTTGACAGTAGAGGGTGGAGGGTAGACCATCCTGAGAACTGGATGTGTAATTAGAAAATGGGGTAGATCCCCTGAAGGAGAGAGCGGGATGCTGAGATAGAACAACAGGGTTACTAATTTAGGGGGGTAGGGGAGTCATGGAAAGGGCGCCTGGGGAGGTTACGTTTAGCTGAGACCTGCAGTGTGATAGGAGTTGGGTGGGGTGGGAGGTGAGATTCTCCAGGCTGAGAGAGAGGAACTGATCAGTAGGAGGTTGTGTCAAGTAACTGGAAGACCCAGCTGTCTGTGACCTCCTCTAATCCCCACCCCACACCAGGGGATGCAGTTGGGGACATTCTCTTTTTACAGGGGCAGAAACTAAAGTGCAGACAACATGACTCTGTCCCTGGTTATAAGCTAGTACATAGAAAGGCCTGGATTCAAACTCAGGGCAGCTTGGTTGATGGTGGAGCTCATAGTCTCTACCCTCAGGGCTGCCTCCTCTGGGGAGACCAGGCAACAAATAGGGAGCTCAGGGTGGAGTCCCCACCCCTTGCCAGCCTGACAGTGGGGCTTGCCTGGCTCCTCCTTCTTCCCCCCGCAGATCCTTAAGCTCCTGAAGGGCAAGGTGGTGGTGGGCCATGCGCTGCACAATGACTTCCGGGCCCTAAAATATGTCCACCCTCGGAGCCAGACCCGCGATACAACTTATGTTCCAAGCCTCCTCAGCCCACCTGGCCTCCACTCCCGGGCGCGGGTCTCCCTGAAGGACCTGGCTCTGCACCTGCTGCACAAGAAGATCCAGGTGTGTGGTGCGCGGACGGTTGGGAGGGAGTGGGAAGGACAGCCTAGCCTCTATGCTGGACCTGGCAGCCGTGGCCGCAGACCACGTGAGCCATGGCCAGGGCCGTGTGGCCCATACCTCCAACCTCCTGTCATTCTTCCTTTCCCAGTCCAGGTGCAGGGCACTTGGCATAAAGCACAGGTCTCCCACTTGTGCAGGCAGCCCTGGGTATTCTCTCTCTGCCATCCTTCTTCCCCAGGGTGTATTACAGCAAACAACCACATTCTTTCAGGTCTGTCCCTCCTCAGCTCCTCACTTTGTCCCTGCATTTGCGACCAGGATGGAAGCCATCAGGCAGGGGGAGCTAGGAACCCTGCTTCCACTGTGCTTCACATACTGTCTTAGTCCAGGTTCTTCAGAGAAACAGAACCAGTAGCACAGATATAGAGAGAGAGATTGAGATTTATTTTAAGGAATTGGTTCATGCAATTGTAGGGGCTGACAAGTCCAAAATCCATAGGTCAGGCAAAAGGCTGGAAACAGTCTTATGTCCAAAATTTGGAGGTGAGACAGCGGCTGGAAATTCCAGCAGGATGTCTATTCCCCTCAGTTTTTGCACTTAAGGCTTTCAACTGATTGGATGAGGCCCACCCACATTTTGGAGGCTAATCTGCTTTACTTAAGGTCAGCTGACTTGAATGTTAATCACATGTAAATACCTTCTTAGCAACATCATGGAGTAGTGTTTGACCTAACAGCCAGGCACCGTAGCCTAGCCAAGTTGACACTTAAAATGAACCATCACACCTACATTACTCTGATCTTTCTAACAAGTCCTTGAAGTAGCTTTTCACCCTGTTTTACAGTGGAGGAAACTGAGGCTTAGAGATGTTAGATGGCCTGTAGCTGAGATTCAAGCTCCTTTGTGTCTGACCCTAAAACCCATGCCCTTTCACCGTACCAAGCTCTGTACCGCTTTATAGAGACGTGTTCTTGGGTCTGTACAAAGCCCAGGGAGGCAGGCCTTGCTTCCTGGGGCGGCGGGGGTGTCTCTCGCCAGGGACCGCCCACAGTGAGGTGTTGGCTCTCACCCGCAGGTGGGCCAGTGCGGGCATTCGTCGGTGGAAGATGCCATGACAGCCATGGAGCTCTACCGGCTGGTGGAGGTGCCGTGGGAGCAGCAGGAGGCCAGCAGCCCCCAGGCCCGCCCCGAGGACAGGGAGCCTGACAGCAGCACAGATGTGGAGCAGTACATGGAAGACCAGTACTGGCCGGAGGACCTGGCCCCGGGCAGCAGAGGAGGGGCAGGGCAGGCACAGGACAGAAAGGAGTGAGGGTGAGGAGAGGCTCCCGGCTGCCTTCCACGTGTACATGTGGGAAGTAGGGGCCAGGATGGCACGGGGCAGCTCATCCTGGGCAGGTTAGGAAGCAGCCAGCCAGCCCCAAGAGTCAGACGAGTTGGGGGCCATCGTCTGCCCGCTTGACTCGCTCTGCCACAGCTGAGCCCTCTGCGGGCTTTTTCCTCTGATCGTATGGTTTGGCTAATGGTACCTTACAGAGACCACGGAAATGTCAGGTGGACTTTTCCTGGGCCCACCCGTAGTAGGGAATATGCCAGCATTGTCCCAGGCTGTCACTGGCATCCCCCCACCCCAGATCTCCTGAGGTTACCATGCTGTGCCATCTAAAGAGGTAATTCCCTCCCTGGGAGTGGGGGCTGGGAGTGTCACTATCCCAGCATCCAGGAGCTCCCTTGTCTCAACTTGGTGACTTGTGGTAAAGTTCTGTTCTTGTCATTGCCACCTACCTCCTCCTCCATAGTCATCTTTGAGTTCAGAGTAAATACGCCGTGAAATTATAGAGTTAAGGTCTCTGAAGAAGACATTTCTTCCCCTTTTCTCTGAACTGAAACTCTGGGTACAACCAGTGTCACTTGGAACACCACCATGTGGCTGTCACCTCCCTGCTAGGCATAGTGGAATGGCCTTGACCACAGGCCACCCTTGAGTTGCTGCCCCTCACATGCTTGGCATCAGAAGCCAGCAGGCACAACTGGAGGAGGAGGAAGAGCAGACAGGCTCTGGAGGAAGGCTGTGGTGTGTTTATTTTGACCCATGTCAGGGATTGCCCCTGCCTGTGCAGCGCTAGGCGTCCCTGGGTGGTACTAACGGTTAACGTGCTTGGCTGCTAATTGAAAGGTTGGAGGTTCACGTTTACCCAGAGATGCCTTGGAAGAAAGGCCTGGCAGCCTGCTTCCAAAAACTCAGCCACTGAAAACCCTGTGGAGTGCAGTTCTGCTCTGACGTACATGGGGGCGCCATGAGTCAGAATTGACTTGACATCAACTGGTTTGATTTGGTTTTGTTTGGGTACTCTGCCCTAGGCTCTCATGAGCAGAAGCCTGAGAAACAAGAAGGTGGTTTGAATTCTGGGGACTCTGACTCTGCCATAGAACTCTGTCCCCTATAGACAGCGCCTGCACTCGGGCTGGGGCCCTGAGGCACTTTGATTGACAGTCACTGATTGTTGGATTTTCTCCTAATTTCTAACAATATTCTCTGTCTGGATTTCATCCCCACCCCTCTCTTCTTTCCTTGTTTTCTAAGGGGCAATTTGGGGGATTAGGGTAACCAAGAGCTCAGGTCACACAGACCCTGTTTCAAGCCCCGACTTTGCCACTTTACTGGCCTTGAGACCTCATACAAGTATGTAACTTTTTCACTGTTGAGTCAGTTTCCTCATCTGTAAAATGGGGATGATGATACAACCTACCTCATAGGGTTGTTATGAGGAGTCAATGCTGAGTGCTTAGTACAGTGCTGGCACATAGTAAGCCTCAGTCAATGTGAGCTGCTGCTTCTTTAAGGGTTAGTTTCAACCTCTTCAGGAGGCTGAAAACCTGAGTACTGAGCCCCTCAGGTTGGGCAGCCTTGGCCCAGACAGCTCTTGAAAATCCCAGCAGGTGGGGCCTGGGGTCAGGGTGAGACACAGCATGGAGGTTCAGGGGTTCTAGTTCCTCTCCTCAGCTCTAGTACCAATGTGTGTTATCTCTGGCCACCAGGGGCTGGCTTCTTGTCAGTGTCCCACAGCTGTGTACAGGATAGATAGAGGAGATAACAGTGGTTTTCCATATTGGTCTGAGCAAAGCAGCAGGGGTCAGAAGACAGACACACTACTGAAAGGACACTACTCTGCTTTTCGCTTGAGGAGCCAGCTCTGCGTGAACTCGGGGTTGGAGACTGTTTCCAGCAGATTCCCTCCCTTTCTGCACAGAGTAGGGAGCTGGCTGGACCATTTCCCGCTGTTGGCCTGGCTTCAGGAATTTATTCTGGAGTTCCTTAAAGTCTGTAGCTGACACCAAACTCACAGCTGAGCAGTTGCTACTATCCTCTGGAGTGTGGTTTGAAGAGCTGATCCAGGCAGATGGAGCTGTGACCAGTGGGGAAATGGGTTATACTGGGTTTAAAATCAGCTTTGTTGTAAAACCCTTTGTTCTGGAATAAAACTCAATTGGAAAGTGGATGAAGTGGCCTTTTCTCTGACTCATCAAGTGATAAGGTGGGAGGCTGGCTTGGTGGGGGGAGGGGAGCCTGGGGCACTAAGCTTTAAGAGGGGCACTGGCTCGTGAGGCGGCAGCTTTTTATGTATGTGTATTTTATAATGTGTGCTCCATTAGTGAAGGAGCTCTGGTGGTGCAGTGGGTAAGTGCTTGGCTGCTAACTGAAAGGTTGGTGGTTCAAATCCACCAGCCACTCCACGGGAGAAAGATGTCTGCTTCCATAAAGATTATAGCCTTGGAAACCATTTGGGACTAGTTCTACTCTGTCCTATAGGGTTGCTGTGATTTGGAATCGACAGCAATGGGTGTTTTTGGACATCATTGGTATGGTTTTACATGTATTAAACTGAGCCATATGATATTGCTGATATCCACCTGTTTATGACCTATGGTTTCATGTGGTTCAATCTGGAGTATACAATTTAGAAATTACACATTTTAGGGGGATACATGCCCAGCCAAGGTTGGAGATGACTGAACTGGAATCCAAAGGGCAGGTTGGGTAAAGGGTGGTACTTCTGGCTGCCACTGAGTCATCCACTTGTGCTGGGTGCTGGGATCCAGAGAGGGCCGCACTGTGGCAGCCTTTGTACCTGCCAAGGCCATGAGAGGTAGGCCAGTGGTGGCAGGAAGGAGGTGTTTCTTGTAGGGCTGAGAAATTTGCTCTGAGTGATCTGCTGTTACCTAGTCCAAAATTTGTGGGCTTTGGTTTGTGGCCAATGGATGAAGCCAGTTAAACCTGGAAGCATCGCCCCTAGGAAACCCCTGGAATTGTCCCCTAGGCTGGAATTAAGGTTCCTCTTCTAGGCTGCTATTCATTCCCCAGGGCCTGTCTGTGTCCAATATCTGAGCACACAACACATCTAAAAAAAACCCACGTAGCCTAGGCAGGGTTCTGGGTGCTGAGGGCTTAGCAGTGAACAAAACAAAGGGTGGGGGAAAACAGTAAATGAACAAGTTAAATAGACAGTATTTCAGATGGTGCTAATTTCTAAAGAAAAATGAGGGAAGGGGATAAGTGCGATTTTAAACAGAGAGGTCAGGGAAGGTCTTATTGCAAAACCTGTCAGAGAGCAAGCCAGGTAAGAGCTTTCCAGACTGAGGGAAAAGCAGGTGCCCAGGCCCTGAGACGAGTACGCCAGGCCATTTGGGGAGCAGTGAAAAAGCCAGCGCAGCTGGAACTAGGCGAGGGAGAGAGGCTGGTGGCACTACTGCCTGCCTTCTACCTGAAGGCACACCTGGCTGACTCAGCCCTCCAGCCATATGGAATCACGTATCTGAAGGAGGCCAGGAGGAACTGCTGATGGTGTGGGAGGAGCCACCATGTGAATAAGTAAAGGCCCTGGGTTTAGCTTTAAACCTAAGAGGCCTTATGTGGTATAGAGGTGCAAGAGAGACTGGAAAGGCCAGTGAGGCGGCTGAAAGGGGGTTTTGGAAACGGCAAGTCGAGGTTTGATTCTGTTGGACAATAGGAAATCACTGTAGGTCCTTGAGCAGAGAAGTGCTGTGACAAAGATTGGGAGGTTAGATTTGGGGAAACAGCCTCATAGGTCTTGGAAGACAATTTAGAGCAGGGCGTGAAGTGGAGGCAGAAAGGCCCGAGAGAGGACTCCTGGGGCTACAGGGGCCTGCAGCAGTGACTGGGATAGGGCCGGCTGGGATGAGAAATGCAAGACTTGGAGGCAGTGCAGGGAAAACAGGAGGTTTGGAGCTGACTCCAAGGAGTAGGCACAGGACTCTTGGGGGAACAAATTGGAGGAACAGAATGCTTCTGTCAGACTTGAGGGGGTGAGTGAATGGAGGTAGGATCATGCAGTGAAAGTGAAGGGGAGGTGAGAGGTGAGGGACTGGGCTGGGATGTAGATGTGTGTGAACCACCAGAGGACATTTGGGGTCCTATGCAGATTGTAGAAACAAACCTTCATTGGGTTTTATTATTGATTGATCGACTGGGGTGAACATACACACACCAAAACATTCGCCAGCACAACTGCTTCCGCATTTACAATTCGAGACATAGATTACATTTTTCATGTTGTGCCGTCATAGGGGCTTATTTTTTAAATGCAGATTTACATAAATTCACAGGAACTTTACCTCATCTCCCCCTAAGTCAGGGTAGCAAACTGTTACACATTTGAAAAGCAAAAAGCCTTCAAACGGGCTAAATTCAAGCAAAATTTGCTCATTCTGAATGGGCACCAAAAATAATCTCTTGTACCTCAAACTTGAACCAACTGAACAGCCAGAACAATTTAGACATTTCAGAATTTGGTTTTGCTTTTTAGACGTGTGAAGTCAGATGTCCCACTTGGTGAACACACCATGTTCCTTTCCAGCCCACCAAATCTGCTGGTTCCATGTGGATATGAGGGTAGGAGGCAGGTATGGGGGCTTTCAACTCATTGTCATTGAAAGCTCACCACAGAATACTTTTGGCTTTTTTCTTAGTAGGAACTGATAAAGCTTAGCACTCTTCCACTCAGACTCACCAAATCCCAGTGCATCATCACTGCTCAGTCTGTAGCAGCATGTACTTCTGGTTGGGCAGCGGTGCTAGTCTCCCCAGTGATGATGGTGGGCAGGGAGGTTCTAGACCAGCCAGCAGACCTCGAGGGTTAGAGTCTGCCCCAGGCCTTGGCAGGGACCTGAAGTGCCATCTCCAGACACGAATGGAGCATGACACTGGAAGAAGAGTCTGCTCTGGGCAACGTTGATTCAGTCTGGCTGTGTTGGTGGGCATTTTCCTCATTGGAAGCTGATCCTAGTTTTGCCCCAGTTTTGCCCCACTTGTAACTCATTCGTGTATTTGATAAATATTGAGTGCTTACCACCCTGGTGGTGTAGTGGTTAAGTCTATGGCTGCTAACCAAGAGGTCAGCAGTTCAAATCCACCAGGTGCTCCTTGGAAACTATGGGGCAGTTCTACTCTGTCCTTTAGGGTCACTATGAGTCAGAATTGACTCTACGGCAACAGGTTTTGGTTTACTATGTGCCAGGCACTGTTCTAAGAGCTCAAAGTTCTAGCCTGGTAGAGTGTAGACCCTAAGGGATATAGCTGGTTTGGTGGGGGCTTCTTGGAACAGTGTCAGCACAGCTGGAGGAAGAGCCCTTTGAGGACAGACTGCTTGTTTCTGAGGCACCCTTGTACCGATGGAGATCTTTAGGGTTCCCAGAATGTCTCCCCTGGGTCCAAGCTGGGGGCTAGCTCCCTCCTTCTCCTGCCCTTTCCATTCAGTAGCCTTAGTGTCCCAAGAGCCTGCTCCCCCTGCCCTCATAAAAGACCCCAGAGTGTCAGACTGGTAGCGGCCCCGGAAGTTGTGGGACATTCCTGAGCTCCAATCCTGGGGATGTTTATTCTATGGGTGGAGGATGAGAAAAGAAAGATGTTGCAATCCACTCTATCCACGTCAGATACGTCACTAGGGGGAGGAGGGGGGCGGGGAGAGGGCTCTGATTAGGTGGAGGCAGGGGCAAAAGAGGAACATCAGCACCGAGCTCCCCAGGTGCCTGGCCTCCTGCCCCGACTTGACTTGGTGACAAACCAGAAACTGAAACTTAGTCTCAGGATTCCCAGTTTACAGTCAGAGATGAGTCACTGCTAAGAGCAACTGCAGTAGCTGAGAAGTGGCACACGAGAGGCAGACGTGAGCTGAGGGCAGAGGAAGCAAGCAGGTGAGAGTGGACGACCAGGACAACTGGTTCGGAGCGTTCCTCTGAGGTTGCGTGGGGGAGGTGGAGGGAGGACGTCTCCCTAGTCCTGAGGCTGCTGGGCAGGGCCAGGAGGCTGAGGAAGCTGGGTGGGGTGGGGAGAGGCCAGCTTCCCCTGTTGCCAGGTGGTGTCTGTGACAAAGGACAGGGCGGAGGGTGAAGGCCGGCTGGGTTATGGCTGAGGACGCCTGGAAGCTGGCTCAACCACACGTGAAGTCCTCCTGTGCCCCTCTCTGCAGTGCGTCTGAGGGTTCCGTGGAGCATGGCGCGTGGTTTTGAGGTGGTGGCCATGGACTGCGAGATGGTGGGGCTGGGGCCCAGCCGGGAGAGCGGCCTGGCTCGCTGTAGCCTTGTGGATGCCCACGGTGTGGTGATCTATGACAAGTTCATCCGGCCCGAGGGCGAGATCACCGACTACAGAACCCCGGTCAGCGGGGTCAGGCCTCAGCACATGCAGGGGGCCACGCCCTTCGCCGTGGCCAGGCTGGAGGTGAGTGAAGGGCCAAAAGGGGCTGTGGACACATCCCACTTCCCCAGCTCCTGGGAACGTTTGGGGACGTTTTGCTTTTCAAATGTACTGTTCAAATGTTTGCTACCCTGACTTAGAGGGACATAAAGTTCCTGTGAATTTATATGAATGTATATTTAAAAAATAAGCCCCTATGGTGGCACAACATGAAAACTAAATCAATGTACTTGAATTGTAAATGTGAGAGTGGTTCCAGGCCTGGGAGAGAAATAATAATCGCCACCGTGTACTGAGCACTTCCCACACATGCCACAGACATTCTCTTGCCACTTCTGAGCTCATGCACTCCTCATGAAACACCCTGTGAAGTGGGTTCTCAGAGCTGTTGATTAGCGCTAGGAGGGCTGGGTTTGAAACCTGGCTCTGTTACTCACCAGCTATCTTCCTTTCCTAGTGCTGCTGTAACAGAAACACCACAAGTGGGTGGCTTTCAAAAACAGAAACTTATTTTCTCACAGTTCAGGAGGTTAGAAGTCCAAACTCAGGGTGTGGCTCTAGGAGGAGGTCTCTCCTTGTCTTTTTCAGCATCTAGTAGTTTCCAGCAATCCTTGGAGTTCCTGGACTTACCAGCTTCATCTGCCTCCATCTTTGTCAGATAGCATCTGTCTTCCCCTGTGTCTGCACGTCTCTATGTCTGTGCTGCTCTTTAAATAACTCAAAAGTGATAAGGTTTAAAAATCCACCCTACACTGGTATGGACTTAAATGATTGATTATATTATGGAAAGGTAATTGCATGACATTAAATTAGATTACATCCACAGGTATAGGGGTTACAATTCCAATACATATTTTGGGATGGGTTGAGGGGGGGGGGACAATTCAATCCATAACACCAGCAAAGTTACCTTGGGTTGAGCAAATTACTCAACCTGTCTGTACTCAAATTCCTCACTTGTAAAAGAAAATGAGGATGATGATAGTCGCAACCTCATAGGGTTGTTGTGAGGACTGCTCTTATTATAGAGCAGAGTGCCTATAATAATACTCAGTAAATATTATCATTTTCCTTATTCCCATATTATAGATGAGGAAAGTGAGCCTCAGTTGACTGAATAACTTAAGTTCAGATGGCCGGAATGTGGTGAACTGGTCAGGATTCAAAGACCAGGCTTAAAACCTATAGGGCTATGCTGGCCAGTGCAGTGTCTACCAGCCACATGTAGCTAGTCAGCACTGGAAATGGGGCTCTTCTAAAGTGCAATATGCGTGACGTGTGAAATACCCACCGGATTTCAAAGACCTGGTATAAAAAAAGGAACTGTAAAACATCTCAGTAATTTATCTTAATTACACATTGAAATGATAATATTTTGGATGAATTGGATTAAAGAAAATAAATTATTAAAATTAATGTTATCTATTTAGTTTTACTTTTTTAAATAGGGCTACTAGGCAATTTGGGGAGCCCTGGTGGTACAGTGGTTAAGTGATAGGCTTCTAACCCAAAAGTTGGCAGTTTGAACCCATCAGCTCCTCTGTGGGAGAAAGATGTGGCAGTCTGTTTCTGTAAAGGTTACAGCCTTGGAAACCCTATGGGTCAGTTCTACTATGTCCTGTAGGGTCACTATGAGTCAGAATTACAAGCCTCAAGTTGCAATATTGAAGGATTCTGCGGGCAAAATATCAAACGACACAGGAAGCATCCAAAGAAGATGGGAGGCCACATGCACCACAGCCTCCACAACCCTGAGACCAGAAGAACTAGATGGTGTCCGGCTACCACTACCAACAGCTCTGACAGGGATTACAATAGAGGGTCCTGGACAGAGCAGGAGGAAAATGTAGAACAAAAAATCAAATTTAAAAAGAAAAAAAAAGACCAGACTTACTCGCCTGATAGAGACTGGAGAGACCCTCGAGGCTATGCCCCTAAGACACCGCTCTGACTTGGAACTGTAGCCATTCCCGGAAACAACCTTCCAGCCAAGCAATAGACCAACCAAAAAAACCCAAATTCATTGTCATCGAGTTGATTGCGACTCATAGCGACCCTATAGAATAGAGTAGAACTGCCCCAGAGGGTTTTCACAGAATGGCTGGTGGATTCAAACTGCCAACGTTTTGGTTAGCAGCTGAGCACTTAACCACCGTGCCACCAGGGCTCCAGTGAAGCAATAGACAGGCCTATAAAATAAACAATAACACTGGAAAAGAACATGTTCCATAGAACAAACAATTATACAAGTCCAAAAGGGCAACATTTGCCCCAAAGTAAAGATGAGAAGGCAGGAAGGGGTCGGAAAACCAGACAAAAGGAAACTGGAAACCCAGGTTGGAAATAGGGAGAGTGTTGACACAGTGTGAGGATTGCAACCAATGTCATGGAACACTTTATACAATTTGTTGAATGAGAAACTAATTTGCTCTGTAGAGTTTCACCTAAAACACAATTAAAAAAAAAAAGATGGAAGGAATACACAGAGTCACTGTACCAAAAAGAATTAGTCAACATTCAGCCATTTTAGGAGGTAGCATATGTTCAAAAACCGATGGTATTGAAGGAAGAAGGCCAAGCTGCACTGAAGGCACTGGTGAAAAACAAGGCTTCAGGCATTGATGGAATACTAACCGAGATGTTTCAGCAAACGCGTGCAACACTGAAAGTGCTCACTCATCTATGCCAAGAAATTTGGAAGACAGCTACCTGGCCAACTGATTGGAAGAGATCCATATTTGTGCTCATTCCAAAGAAAGGTGATCTATCCAACAGAATGTGGAAATTATCAAACAGTATCATTAACGTCACACTCAAGTAAAATTTTGCTGAAGATAATTCAAAAATGATTGCAGCAGTACATCAACATGGAACTGCCAGAAATTCAAGCCAGATTCAGAAGAGGACGTGGAACCAGGGATATCATTGCTGATGTCAGATGAATCTTGGCTGAAAGCAGAGAATACCAGAAACATGTTTACCTGTGTTTTATTGACTTTGCAAAGGCATTCAACTGTGTGGATCATAACAAATTATGGATAACATCGCAAAGAATGGGAATTCCAGAACACTTAATTGTGCTCATGAGGAACCTGTACGTATAGATCAAGAACAGAGCAAGGGCTACTGAGTGGTTTAAAATTAGGAAAGGTGTGTGTCAGGGTTGTATCCTTTCACCATACTTATTCAATCTGTATGCTGAACAAATAGTCCAAGAAGGTAAGACTATTTGAAGAATGTGGCATTAGGATTGGAGGAAGACTCATTAACAACCTGCAATATGTAGATGACACAACCTTGCTTGCTGAAAGTGAAGAGGACTTGAAGTACTTACTGATGAAGATCAAAGACTACAGCCTTCAGTATGGATTACACCTCAACATAAAGAAAACAAAAATCCTTCACAACTGGACCAGTAAGCAACATTATGATAAACAGAGAAAATATTGAAGTTGTCAAGAATTTCATTTTACTTGGGTCTACAATCAACACCTATGGAAACAGCACTCAAGAAATCAAACCATGTATTGTATTGAGCAAATCTGCTGCAGAAGACCTCTTTAAAGTGTTAAAAAGCAAAGATGTCACTTTGAGAACTGAGGTGTGCCTGACCCAAGCCATGGAATTTTTAGTCACCTCATATGCACGCAAAAGCTGTACAATGAATAAAGAAGACTGAAGAAGAATTGATGCCTTTGAATTATGGTGTTGGCAAAGAATATTGAATGTACCATGGACTGCCAGAGGAACGAACAAATCTGTCTTGGAAGAAGTACAGCCAGAATGTTCCTTAGAAGCGAGGGTGGCGAGACTTATCTCACGTACTTTGGACATGTTAGCAGGAGGGACCAGTCCCTGGAGAAAGGACATCATGCTTGGTAAAGCAGAGGGTCAGGGAAAAAGAGGAAGACTCTCAATGAGATGGATTGACACAGTGGTTGCAACAGTAGGCTCAAACATAGCAAACATTGTGAAGAGGGCACAGGACTGGGCAGTGTTTCGGTCTGTTGGACGTAGGGTAGCTATGAGTTGGAACCCATCTGACAGCAGCTAACAACAATAACAACAAGTGGTCTCATGGAAAGCAGGTACAAGATGGGGCAGGGGCACCAGGAGAGCCTGACAGGAACAGGAGAAGCAAGAGGAACAGGGCTGCTCCTGAAGTTGACAGTAAGGGACGTGGGCCTTCTGGAGGTTGACAATTCTTCAGGGCCCTGTCTTAGTTACCTAGTGCTGCTGTAACAGAAACATCACAAGTGGGTGGCTTTAACGAACAGAAGTTTATTTTCTCACAGTTGAGGAGGCTATAAGCCTGAATTCGGGGCACCAGCTCTAAGGGAAGGCTCTCTGTCTATCGGCTCTGGGGGAAGAGCCTTGTCTCAGCTTCTCTAGCCTTGGTGTTCTTTGGTTCTTTGATAGTCTCCATGTGGCATCCCCCCTCCGCCACCCCGCCCCTCACCGTTTGTGCTCGCTGGTCTATGCTGCTGTTTATATCACCCAGAAGTGATTGGGTTTAGGACACACTGTCCTGGTGGCATAGTGGTTAAGTGCTGTGCCTGCTAACCGAAACGTTGGCAGTTTGAATCAGCTAGGCACTCCTTGGAAACCCTGTGAGGCAGTTCTATTCTTTCCTGTAGGGTTGCTATGAGTCAGAATTGACTTAAAGGCAATGGGCTTGGTTTTGTTTTTTTTTTGTACATTGACATGGGCTCATTTACACAAAAAGAAAGCCCCATTTCCAAATACGATCGCCTCCACAGGGGTCAGGACTCCAGTACATATTTTTGGGGGCCATAATTCAATTCTTAACAGCCCCTTACCCACAGCCGCCTCTCCTGGCACCCAGGAGTGAAGGGCTGGGCACAAGCTAATGAAAGGATAGGTGGAAACAGCTGGAAGCTTCCGCCTGGGGGCAGAGGTTTCCAAACTTGTCAGCCGGGAAGACTCCCCAGGAACATTTGCTAACGCCCCCTCCCCTCCTGCTTGGGTATTTTGATTCAGTGGGTCTGGAGTAGAGCATGTATTTTTAACCAGGGCCCAGATAATTTTTTTGGATTAGGCACATTTGGGAAATACTTGGAAATATAGTGGGAACACAGTGGAAGGAGTATGCAGGCAAACCCCTGTGCCCGGACCTGTCACTCCCCTTGCTATGTGACCTCAGAGCCCCCCGCTTTCCTTGTTCCTTATATGGCTGTGGTAATCCTCACTTTTATAGGGACCATATTCCCTATTCAAGAAATTCTCATTAAGGGCCATCAAGTGCCAGGCATTCCTCTCCCTTCTGAGATTAAAGGATGCTAATATAACCAAATCACTTGCCATTGGTGCTCCATAGGGTTTTCAATGACTGATTTTTCAGACGTAGATCACCAGGCCTTTCTTCTGAGGCACCTCTGGGTGGACTTGTACTGCCAACCTTTTCGTTAGCAGCCAAGATTTTGTACCTCCCAGGGACTCCCTCCTAATGCTACTTGTCGTTGTTGTTAGCTGCCGTAAAGTAGCCCCCGACTCATGGTGACCCCACGCACAACAGAACAAAACACTGCCTGGTCCTGAGTCACTCCATGATTGGTTGTGATCAGGCCATTGTGCTCCATAAGGTTTTCAATGACTGATTTTCAGGAGTAGATCACCCGGCCTTTCTAACAAAGCTCCTCTCGGTGGACTGGAACCTCTAACCTATCGATGAGCAGTGGAGCGTGTTAACCTTCTGCGACACCCAGAGACTTAATGCTAGGTTCTCAGCAGATGGTAACAGGAACAATAGCAACAATAACAATAATAATGATAGGCTCAGGCAGATCCAGACATTGCATCACAGCTCTCAGCTCACTACGTGGGCAAGTCCCTTAACCTCTCCAACCCTCAGCTCTCTCCCCTGTAAAATGGGATTAAGAATATTCTTGTTGAGAGACTTCATAATGAGGTAAGGAAATTACCTGGCCCAGTGTAGGACTGATGGGTGGAGATCAATACGTATCCCTTCTCCCTACCCCACTTCAGTTCTTTCCAGGAATTTGAGTGTCTCCACCCCCTGCATTTGACAGTGGCAAAGTCTGACACCCCTGCCTCGTGAGGCTGACTCAGGGTAGGTCCGGCAGCCAGCAGGGCATACAGCCCCAGGGCCCAGCGAGCTGGCACTTCCCCACCCCTCCCTGGGCTTCAACAGGTCCCCTACCCCATTCCCACCTCGGGAAGACAGTAGAGCCCTGGCTGCCCCACCTCTCTAGGCTCTGACCTTATAATTGGGGAAACTGAGGCCCAGAGAGGGTCTTTGATATCCCTGAGGGTACCCAGCAAACCCCAGTGATCTTTTCCAGCCAGTACCCAGCATCTTTGTCCTGAGGGGTGGTTGGTATCGCTCTGCTCAATGGACAGTTCTCTTCTTTTTCCTTTCTTCCTCTTCATTTCTTCTGCTCATCTACCCCCTCTTAGTTTATTTTTCCCTTTTGATGATGACATAGGGCACCCCAACCCCCACCCTTGGGTTCAGGAAGTGATGAATCTCCCAGGAACCCACATCACGATGGCTTGGTCCTCTGACGTGAAGGCTGTGGCCGTCTCTGGGGGCAGCTGACGACTTCCTTCAGGGCTCTGTGTGAACTGGGCCTGAGCCAAGCCCAGATGAAAAACAGGCCACATTGTTCAGAAACATAAAGGATTTCGGTGAGAAAAGGTGCATGAACCGCAGCCACCCATCCGGTACCACTTGCTTCTCAGCCAGCCCCTTCCTCATTCTTCTGCGCCCTACCTCAGGCTGCTGCTTCCCTTCCTGAGTTCCTTTTAGCACCTACCTGAGGAAGTTTTTGCACCAGTCATGGGCCCATACTGTTATCTTTTAAAGCCTCATCGGCATCACACGGGAGCGTCCTAAAAAAAAAAGTTGCCATTGAGTCAACTCAGATTCATGGCGACCCCATGTGTGTCAGAATAGAACTGTGCTCCATAGGGTTTTCAATGGCTGATTTTTCACGAGTAGATCACCAGGTGCCTCTGGGTGGGCTTGAACCTCGAACCTTTTGGTTAGCAGCAAAGCCGTTTAACCATTTGTGCCATGCAGGGATTCTGGGGACCTCCTAGAAATGTGGAATCCTGAGCCCACCCCAGACCTCCTGAGTTCAAACCTACATTTTAGCAAGATTCCCTAGGTGGCTCCTGAGCACACTGAAGTCTGGGAAGCGCTGGTGTAGACCAGAGACGCGCTGTTTCATTCCGTGATATGCTTTCCCCAAGAGTCAGGTGGAATTAACTGCCTGCTGACTGAAGCCCACCTGACAGGGTCCCCATGCAGGACAGTGGGTGGACAGACCCTGCTTCCAGAGCTGTGACCTGGACAAGTCACTTTACCTCTCTGAGCCTCAGCTTCCTCCTCAGTACAGTGGCAATGATGATCCTGTGATCACCAAAGGGGAGTGTATAAAGGGACAACATGATATCCCAGGAGGCCGCTAACCATCTAGAAGGAGAAGCAGGATGCGGGAAGGTGTTAGCCGCCCAGAAAGCTCTTCCCAGGACACAGACTACGGCCCGGGCTGTGCTTGGAGAGAGACAAAGTTGTCAGAAAGCTGGCCCGAGGTGGCCTGAATCGGCTATGCTCTCAGCTCTGCCACTTCCCTGTGCAGCCACCAGAATTCTATGTTCAGGCTTCCCCTTCTGTCCTCCCCATCCCCAGCCACGTTAAAGGAAGGTGACTGGCCTGTTGTGGATAGAGCTTAGGAGGCTGTCCAGGGGCCACCATGGGAGAGGAGGCGAGAGGGATCCTGTCCACAGCCTGGCAGTGGGCTGTGGAGGTCTGGGCAGTGCTCTTCCAGCCCAGCGTGGTGGTTACAAGCACGCAGGGGCCAGCATACTGGCTTTGAACCCTGGCTCTGCCATTCCGCTGTGGGACTGTCCCAGTTGTTTCATTGTGCTTAGCAAAGTCCTCCAAAACTTAGCGGTTAGAACAATGCCAGTATTTATTTTGCTCTCTTACCTGCAGTTTAGGCAGGGCTGGCAGGGACAGCTTGTCTCTGCCTCACTCAGCGTCAGCCAAGGCGTCTGTCTGCAAGCTGGGCTGGACTCTTGGGAAGCTTTGCCCCGGGCTCCTGGGGTATCTCTCTCCGTGTGGCCTCTCCCCACAGTCTCTCCAGCATTTGAGGTAGCTGGACTTCTTTCATGTCAGCTCAGAGCTCCCAGGTGGAGTTCTCACGTCCACTCACTCCAACCTCCCTCTTGCACATATCAGGCCCACCTGGATAATCCAGGATAATCTTATTTTAAGGTCGGGTGATTAGCAACCTTCATGGTGGCACAATGGTTAAGCATTCAGCTACTAACCAAAAGGTCATCAGTCAACCCACCAGCTGCTCCACAGGAGAAAGATGAGGCAGTCTGCTCCCATAAAAATTACAGCCTTGGAAACCCTGTGGGACAGTTCTGCTCTGTCCTATAGGGTCGCTATGAGTCAGAATCGACTCGACAGCACACAACACAACAACAACAGAAGCTGAGAAGGAGCCCTGGTGGCACAATGATTAAGCGCTCAGCTGCTAACCAAAAGGTTGGTAGTTCAAACCCACCCTGTGGCTCCAGGGGAGAAAGATATGGCAATCTGCTCCCGTAAAGATTACAGCCTAGGAAACCTCATGGGGCAGTTCTACTCTGTCATATAGTGTTGCTATGAGTCTGAATCGACACAACAACAATAACAGCATCCATCTGAAACCTGTATTTCCCTTTGCCAGGTGACCTAACATGGTCACAGGTTCTGGAGATTAGGGTGTGGACATCTTGGGGGCATTATTCGTCTATCACACGGGGGTTGTTGAGAGGATTAAATGACATAATGGCATGGCAAGTGCTCTGTGGGGCTAGCAGCCTGTCACACATCTAGAGTCCAGGCACATATCTAAGGGGTGTACAGTCTGTTACACATCTAAGGGGTCCAGGTCCCTTGGTACAGACCTAAACTACTGAGTATGAGCAGGGACATGGTCCAATCTCCACATTTTATGGATGATAAGTTTGAAGCCCAAAGAGGGACAGTGATTTGCCCCATGTCACACAGTGAGCAAGTTGAGGAAGGCCGCTCCTGACAGCCCTGTGACCATACTGCATTGTCCACCCAGAGACTCTGGGTGATGCATGGGGGGCACATGTCTTCCTGTCTTCCTGGCCAGATCCTGCAGCTCCTGAAGGGCAAGCTGGTGGTGGGCCATGACCTGAAGCACGACTTCAAGGTGCTGAAAGAGGACATGAGCAGGTACAACATCTACGACACGTCCACTGACATGCTGCTGAGGCACCAGGCCCACCTGGACCACTGCAGGCGGGTCTCCCTCCGGGTGCTGAGCGAGCGCCTCCTCAAGAGGCGCATCCAGGTGCGTGTCTACTCTCCCCTCCCAGGCTGGGCCACCTGGGGCTGCCTCGGCCAGGAGTACCTAGCAGGGTACCCGGCGAGGCATTACTCAGCCGTCCGGTCCTCTAAGAAACCCCAGTGGCCCCAGGGCAAATATTTGGCCCCAAAGATGCACTCACTATCTTCCCCATACTTCTGGGAGGCTGAGTTCTTGTGAGAGAGAGGGTTGTATTTGGGCTCCCCCAGAAACAGACCCCGAGACAAGGATCTGAGTGAAAGAAGTGAGAGAGGTGAGCACAGGAGAGTGAGGGCAAGAGACAGGGAAGGGGAGGCACCCAGTAAAGGATTTTTTTTTTTTTTAATGAAATCGGTCACCCAGTGGATTAAAAACAAAAACAGTTGCCATGGAGTCGATTCCAACTCCTGGGGACCCCGTGTGTGTCAGAGTAGAACTGTGCCACAGCCACTGAAAACCCTATGAAGAAGTCCTCCTAGAAATGTGGAATCCTGGGCCCACCCCAGACCTCCTGAGTGTGCTCCACAGGGTTTTCAATGGCTGATTTTTCAGAAGTAGATCATCGGGCCTTTCTTTCAAGGCACACATGGGGTTGCCATGAGTTGGAATCAATTTTATAGCAACTAGTTTGGTTTTTTGGTATGGATATTTCAGAAGTAGATCTGCAGGCCTTTCTTCTGAGGTGCCTCTGGGTGGATTTGAACAGCCAACCTTTTGGTTAGTAGCTAAGCGCCTAAACATTTATGCCACTCAGGGATTACCCAGTGGATAACTGGTGCTTAATCCCACTGGGGAACTCTGGAAAATGGTATAAATCACACATCTTGGATTTATCCCACCAGAGGGCCCACAGAGCCGAGGTATTTATACACCAACTCCCATCAGCTGTTGGTTGAAATCTGCTCCAGGGGGCCTAACTCCTCAGCACTACATGGCTGCAGGCAGAGCAGGCTCCCAAAGCCCTCGGACACAGGAATGCAGTAAGCTGGTCTCACTGTGGGGGACAGGGCAGAGGCAGACACTAAAGGCTGCAGCTTCTGGTGGGGACTTTTCAGGCCAACAGCTATTTACTGAGCACTATCCTATAGCGTCACTATGAGTTGAAATCGACTCGATGGCAATGGATTTGGTTTGGTTACCCTGGAGTCCTGGGTGGCACAAATGGTTAAGCACTCGACTACTAGCCGAAAGGTAGGTGGTTTGAACCCACCCAGAGGCGCCTCAGAAGACAGGCTTGGTGATCTGCTTCCAAAAGTTCACAGCCTTGAAAACCCTATGGAGCAGTTCTACTCTGCACACATGGGGTCGCCATGAGTCAGAATCAGCTGGATGGCAACTAACAACAACCCTTGCTAGACTAAAGGGGCAGATGCTGGGGACACGGGTGAGCGAGACCCAGCCCTCTCTGTCCTTAGCTGAATGAAAGTGTGGCCCATAACCAGAATGTCCGAAGGCAGGAAGGTCCCTGGGGCAGGGACGAAGGACAAGGTGGCAGGGGAGGAGGCTTGACCTGAACTGAGTTTGAAGAAGAAGTCTTAGTCAAGATAATAGGAGAGGGCCTCCCGGGGAGAGGGGGAGCATGAGCAGAGCCTGGAGGAGAGTGTGGCCCTGGCCGGATGCCTGCCAGCAGGTACTGTAAGGAGCAGGAAATGGTCTTGAGCCTGGGCCGCTCTTAGCCTGTGGCTCATAAGGACCAGTCTGAGCTTACCTTGGAGCCCTTGTCACTCCATGGCTGTCAGTCTGGGGCCTGGTTCTGGGGACTTTGAGCCTGACCGAGGGTCCCTTCTGGGCCTGGGCACCCTCTCAGGCTCTGTCCTTTTACCCCTGGGCTTGTTAAGCCTGGCTGCACTGGAGTTCCCAGCCCCATCCCCATGACTTCTGCCTATATCGATGCCCCTAGAGACCTGCCTCAGCCCTTTGCCTGTAGACGGTGGTACTGCTGGTTGCTGCAGCCTGAACCACACACATGACACGGGAGCTAATGCGGGTGGTGTTACATCCGGGCCTGTCTCCCTTCGGAGGCAATGAGATGGTGGTCCTTCGGGCTCTGGCTTTGAGCTGCCCACCCGGTGGACCACACCACGTGAGGAAGGGAAAGGGCCTTCCTACAGTCAAGAAATCCTTGAGAGGCTGAACTTAGCCTTCTATCATTCAGTCCTCTAAGGCAGGCCCGATCAGGCCTATTTTACAGAAGAGGAAAACAAGGCTCAGAGACAAAAGGAGGCTTGCCCGTCCATATTCACAGAGCTTGTAAGAGGGGAGCTGGGATTTGAACTTAGGTCTGATTCCAAATCCTGGGCTATTTCCAACCTTGCCTCCCCGCCTCCCCCGCCCCACGTTCTCCTCTCCCAACACCGCTGGAGACCAGAGAAGGAAGCTCATGCCATCTTCTGCTTCTGGCAGTTCCTTCTGATTCAGTCCTCAGCTTCTTTCTCCATAGAGCAGAGCGGATGAGAGCGAGTAGCCTCTCTGTGCCTCAGTTTCCTCATCTGTAGTTGCGAGGCTGTAATAGGGTAGGATTCACGGAAATTCCATATGTAAAGCACTTAGCACAGTGCCCAGTGCATGGGACAAGTGCCCTCCCACATGCCAGCCAGGGCCACAACTCCGTCTACCCAAACCAAACCCACTGCCATCAAGTTGATTCCAACTCATAGTGACCCAATAGGACAGGGTAGAACTGCCCCATAGGGTTTCCAAGGCTGTAAATCTTTATGGAAACAGACTGCCACATCTTTCTCCTGTGGAGTGAGCTGGTTGGTTCAAACCACTGACCTTCTGGTTAGCAGCCAAGGGCTTAACCACTGCACCACCAGGGCTCCTTGAACACTGTCTACTCGCTTATTAATAATACGGAGTAATAATGGCAACGAGGAGAATCCCACCAGGTGTCCCCAGCACCCAATCCAGAGTGTCTGGGAAAGGAGCCCTTGTGAGGAAAGGAAGGCCTCTCTCAACAGAGGAACACCCAGAGAATGCAGCCAGGCCTGAGCCACCCCCACTGGGCCTCTGGATTCAGCCCTGCCCCCAGTCCCTACTCTGTACTTGTGTCTGCAGAACAGCCTGTTGGGACACAGCTCAGTGGAAGATGCAAAGGCAACGATGGAGCTCTACCAAATCTCCCTGCGAATCCGGGCCCGCCGAGGGCAGCCCAGCCTGGGTGTCGTGGGCTGAAGCTCAATCCAGCCCCTTCCACAGGGACTAGAGACCTTCATCTCTTCAGGGGCAGCGACTCTCATGCTTTTGAAAATGCATTTTTAGTAGTAAAATGGCTATATATTTTCTCTACTCAGTCATTGGATCTTCCGCTTGTCTTTTGCTTTCTTCTCTCTGAGCTGGGTTAATGATGGAGGGGACACAGTCTGCATGATGCTGAGAGGGGAACAAAGACTTGTGCCGAGGAGGTGGGGAAGTATGTTTCCTCAATAACGTGAATCCTGTGGGTCCAAGAAAAAGCTACTGGAATCTGGGTGGCATGTGACTTAATTAATAACCCCTCCCTCTGCTTCCCTTTTTCTGTTGCATTTATGCCCAGAGGGGGGCACTGTTTCCTGGAGGTGGCACCTGGCTTGGAAGTTCACTCATCCCATCTTGAGATTGGTACCATGGCATTCATGAGCTTCCAATCAAAGGTACAGGAAGTGTGATGGGTGTCACCCCAGTGACCTTGAGCAAGTCACTGTTCTCTTATTTGTAAAAGGAGGAGGCAAAGACAGTGGAATCTGGAGGTAAGTAGAACTAGGTTGGAATCCTGGCTCTTCCATTAACTAGCTGTGTCACCTAGAATGAGTTACTTAATCTCTCTATACCTCAGTTTCTCCATCTGTAAAGTGAGGATTATAACAACCCATAGGGTTATTGTGAAGTGTTACATGCAAAACCCCTAGCACTGTGCCTGTTGTAGCTTATTACCAGTTGCTGTCAAGTCAGTTCTGACTCATGGCTATGCCATGTGTGTCAGAGTAGAACTGTGCTCCGCAGGGTTTTCAATGGCTGATTTTTCAGAAGTAGATCACCAGGCCTTTCTTCCAAGGCACCTCTAAGTGGGCTTGAACCACCAACCTTTCGGTTAACAACCAAGCATGTTAACCATTTGTACCACCCAAGGACTCCATCATAGCTTAAGCACCCACCAAATGTTAATAACTAGTTATTATTCCCTAGACCGCCTGCGGACCTAAAGGCCTAGCCCTCTGTAGGGCACACAGTGTGTGCGGAGAAGGGTCTGTACCAGAATGTTCCTGCTCATTGGAATCAACTGTTGTTTTAATCGTGCCTGAGTCCCACTTCATACCCACTAACCTGGAATCTCAGGAGTGGGGCTGGGGCATCTGTTATGTTTTTAACTTTTGTGGGTGATTCTGATGCCTAGGACATTGGAATCACTTGAAGTTCTGTTTAAGCAAATACCCAAGCCCAGTGTCTCACACTTGAGTGTGTGTCAGAATCACCTGCAGTGATCCTTAAAGCACACAGTGCCGGGTCCCACCCTGAGTGCTGATTCAGCAGGTCTAGGGTGGAACCCATAAATGTGCATTTCTATCAAGTTTCCCCTTTGATGCTAATGCTGCTGGTCTGGGGACCACACTTTGAGAACCACTGCGTAAGCCTCAGGTGATTGCAGTGTGCAGCCATGGTTGACAGCCATTGGCCTAAGGGACTCAGCACCCTAGGTATAGACTCCTGTCACAGTTCCAGCTTCTTTGCTGTGTCCCTTGGCTGCCTGCTTGGAAACCCTGGTGGCATAGTGGTTAAGTGCTGTGGCTGCTAACCAAAAGGTCGGCAGTTCAAATCTACCAGGCGCTCCTTGGAAACTCTATGGGGAGTTCTACCCTGTCCTATAGGGTTGCTATGAGTTGAAATCGACTCAACAGCAATGGGTTTGGTTTTTTGGTTTTGGCTGCCTGCTTGTACAGAGAGAGGTTCCCAATCACGAAAGATATGTCCTAAGTAACCCCACTGCACAGATGAGGGAAGCTTGAGGTAAGGTTGAGCACCCGAGGGATTCAAATCCAGGTTTGCCTGACCCCAAACCAGTAAAACCAGTTGCCTTGGAGTCAGTTCCAACTCATAAGGACCCTGTGAGTGTCAGAGTAGAACTGTGCTCCTTAGGGTTTTCAATGGCTGATATTTTGGAAGTAGATCACCAGGACTTTCTTCCAAGGGCACCTCTGGGTGGGCTGAAACCTCCAACCTTTTGGTTAGCAGCTGAGCATGTTAACCGTTTGCACCAACCAGGGCCTCCTCTTTTCACACAGACTG